AACATAGTAAATACATGAAGGCATCTAAGATGAATCCATAACTACCACCGGACTGCAGAAAACACTGCATTAGGTGCATAATATTTTGGAAAGCTTTTTTGTGTTATCTTGCTTGAATATGTATTTGACTATAAGAAAAAATAATGATGCATGGGGACTATTTACCCAACAGAAAGTAATGCTTTGACATAAAATGTTTGTTTTGCCACCTTGCTGGATAGTGGGATCATGATAGAATGCAAGATAATAGATTACTTCTAAACAAGATACTGTGGAAAATATATCTTGATTCCTATCTGAAGAATGCAAAATGTCTGTGCAAGTTGTAAACTTCTTGAGAACCTTAGGTGACAACTGTATAAATGGACTCATTGACAAATCCTCTTTCAGCAAGAAGGAGAAAAAGGACAAATCGTTTCGTGAAAGAATTCATTTATGATCTCAGCTTCCCCCAAGCCATTCTATACAGACCATTAATTAACAAATTTTGAATGGATAAAACCCATTTAAAATACTGTCCATCAAATAAAACATCATACCTTCAGAATCTAATAACCCATCATAGTTAATTAAAATGAATAAAGAAATGGCAAATAACCTCCTTTCCTCTGGGGAGCAGCTGAGCACTGAAAGACGGGGAGCCACCTTCTGGCCTCTTTTCTGCAGCAGGTGTGGAATAAGGGGCAACAGAATTGGAATTTCAGTGCCCTGGTATATTTGACTGAAGCACACTAGTGTCAGCCCTGATTTTAAAGGAGCTGCGTAGGTCTGTCATAGATCGGACATTTTGGAGGGCTTCCATTCAAAGGGTCACCAGAAGTCAGAGATGACTGGACAGTACCTAACAACAACAACAACTAGCACGGTGATATTTGAGAGGCATAACATTGGTTTATGGGTTTAGAAGGGAGATGTTTCTGCTTTCATTCATGTGAACATGGGCATTTTTTCTTGAAATCTCATGTGAATCATGAGATTTTCCAAAGTTGCAGTGACTGATCCTGTGTTTCTTTATGAATGGAATTTAAAAAATAGGTCACTTGAGCTGTTTTTCTGAAAATGAACTCTGTGATGCTCAAAAGTACCCCTGCTTCTATCAACAGTAATAAAGACTTGGGTCAAGCTAATGCCACCTTGTGGGAAGGTCCAATTTCCGTTTCCCATATGAAGTCAACCATGAAGTCTTTGCTAAAGAATTCAAGCTTAGTCCTTAATTGTATTATCCTACTTTTACAGGTGGAAACTGAGACAGGGGAGTGTAAACTAAATGCCACATACATTGCTTTCCTAAAGGGATGCACTACTGGTGCATTTCTTTTGCATAATTAGCTGGAAGTCTAATTAAAAGGAAGATTCCATGCAGCATGAAATATGGTACTACTAGAAATAGTCTTTCCAAAGGAGACAGATTTTCTATACTGTCTCTTCACAACAAAGAATCTTGTTCTGCTAATCAAGTTTCCTGGTTCAAGTTCATCCCATTTTCATAGTCAGGGAGTTTGATGGCTTACTACTGAATTGCCCCTTAACTGTCCCTTAGTCAGCTTTAGTCTCCCTGTACAGAGGATATTAAATTCTATTCCTCTCCTCTCCTCTCCTCTCCTCTCCTCTCCTCTCCTCTCCTCTCCTCATATAATGTAATATTCTTACAGTAATATGGGGCAATTAAGGAGCAATTTGGTGTTAATCCCCAGCCGTGCTGACCAGGTAAATAATGAAATGGTCTAGATCATTAATCCAGAAATTGCACTTTTAACAAGAAATTGCAAGTAACACTTTTGACAATAATTCTTTGACATTCCAGGTTAGGTAGGCTGTTGTTACAGTCATGTTTTATAGTAAAAATAATTACCTTAAATTTGATTGGAAGGGAAAACACAGGAGAACCGCACAGAATATAACAACACTGATATTGTATGGCTTTCCTATAAAACCCGCATGAGGAAATAGTGCTGGATCCAGACATTGTGGGCCGTGCACCTGCAAAGGGCCCGTTGCTGCTTTTGCTCTTTTGCTCTCACATCATTTTTGCCATTTGTTTGCTAGAGAGGCAGAAAGTGAGTGAGTAGGCGACAAGATCTACTCGCCCTTCTTCCAACCACCTCTACTTTTGCCTGGGCCAGAGTAAGAGGCGGGAAAGCCAGCAGGTTGCCATAGTGAAGAGAAGGAACAAGTCCTGGTGCTCTATTGAGTGGCCTTTGCTCAAATGTTGGTATTCAGCAGCTGCCCAACCAGGCCTAACATTTACGTTGGGCCTAGAAGGAAGGATGGAACTTCTTAAGTAAAACTGTAGAGTAAAGGAGCCCTACTGAGTTCCTGGAACTGGAATCTTCTGATGAGTGCAATCCTATGCACAGTTTATTGAGAATAAATCCTGTTAAATACAGTGGTCCTTATTTGTGAGATTACATGCATAAGATTAAATTTTGAATTACCGTACTCCATCTTTTACAGACTGCCCAGAGAGATTTGGCTATTCACTGGTAAAGAAAAAGAATAGATAAATATTACAGATGCTACTAATAATTATACTTCCTCTCCAGGGCAACAGCCCTATGTCTCTGCAGATCTCTGCTCCAAACTATTCAGCAGTGGACCCCAACCCCAGCCCAGAGCACAGAGTTCTTTTCTCCATTACTGCTGAGACTGAGTTTGCCTTGGTACAAACTACCTGCAGTGGGAGTAGGCAATCAGTGCACCCCAGGCCACCTTTCTTGACACCTGTCAGGGTGTCTGATACCTCCCTTTCCAGGGAACTGCCGAGCACACATGCCTTTCCCAGGTATGTGTACCTGGTGACTTTGTTTTCTTGAGCTAGATAGTTGGACCATGGACCTGGAGATCTGGGTTCTGGTTCCCAGTCAGCCATGAAACTCCCTGGGTGACTTTGGGCCAGTCTCTCTCAGCATAACCCACTTACTGTTCTTGTGAAGATAAAATGGAGTGTAGGAGGACCATCTAAGTTACCTTGACTTCCTTGAAAAAAGGAAAAATGTGGACCTGAAATATAAAGTAATAATGATGCTGATATCTTGCTTTATTGCTTATCTGTTTTTCACTGGCATTATCCTCTCTGTTGCTGACATTATTGGAATTTGTTTTATGTTAAAAGTTAGCTGCCTTGGAACTATAGTAAATCAGTGGGTTGCCACACTTAAAATAAATAAATACATTCAAGCAGAATTTGTATACTAAAGGAAAGTATAGACTATAGTAATGCAGACTAAGAAATATGGATCCTGGCCTTTCATGTGATCAGAATCCAAACCGGACCCAACGTTGCTTTCATGTAAGCTGACCCCATTGTTTGGCTCAAGGAGGTGAACTTCCTTTTTCTTTCTGTTCTCTTCTTTTTGTTCACCAGTGATCAGTCCTATGAATGAAGGAAGATTTATACACCTTGACCCAGACACTGGTATCTGGAAGACAATGGTGTCACAGACTGATGAAAATATGATTTATGTCTTATTGATGATATTATAGGACCTTGAACTTAGTAGAGTTTTATGGAACGGTTTGATAAAATATTGTCCTGTGTTGTACTATTCTTGCCAGAGTGCCACTTGTTACAACATAAATAGCGGAAATGATATACACTTCATTATTTTCTTTTTGCAATTATCAAGGTGAACTGAAATGTAAATCATTGGCGCATTAAAGCTCAGCTTTTGTTTACCCACTGTAGATAGAGTCTTTTCCCCACCACATGCACACAGCTCCTTTTTCATTATTTGGTTTCTTTTCTTCTTCTATAATTGTTTGCCTCTTTTTTTCTTTCATTTTCAAATCGCAGAGGTAGGGAGGAGGGAAGTAACCGCAGATCAATGTATAAGAAAAATCAAAGCAACATTATTTTTATTTGATGTTAAGATAAAAGGAGATTTGTATGCATGTTGTCACCAGACTTTTCCCTGACAAAATGGGCAGTGGATCTGAGATTTCTTCCAGTGGGATGTCACATGTCCTTGAGGAGATCAGCTAATATAATGTATGTAAATCAGGCATTTTCTGTATTCAGCGAGGGAATCCTTTCAAGTCACTGACTCTGTCTTAGAAATTTTTCATGACTCTTGAACCTTAGGACTTCCAAAAACAAGCCCTATCTGCTCAGTCCAGGGAGAGAGAGCCCCTATGTCAAGGTGATGACCTTCACCAAGCTCCAAAAGCCCACAGCCTGGATCTGCTGCAAATACACTTTCATAGGGATTTATTAAAATTTGATAGTGTCCTCCTGAATCTCAAAGAAAAACTGCTTCTGTGATTTCAGTGGATAAGGGAGGATTATATGGAATTTGCAACTACAGGAAGTAGTGATGGCTGCTCTTCTGAATGCCTTTAAAAGAGGATCAGACAAATTCATGGAAGAGAAGGCCATCGATGGTTACATATGGGGTGCAGCAGTTGTTGGGGTGCTGGGGCAGGTGGGGCTGTTCTACTCCCATCCTGGAAGCCTGCGGGCACCAGCTTTGCCGCTGTGCGAGCAGGATGCTGGACCAGATGGGCTGATCCAGCAGGGCTTTTCTTACATTCTCAGGTTATGCCAGGTCATTTTAGGAGCTGACTTGGCTCATCCATGATTCATAGAACATGATCCCATTTCTGGATTTGGAGCAGAGAGTATTTGCATTCCAGTAATGTCAGTACTGGACAGTACTGCACCCATGCAGTCCTGGACACCTTTTCTTATGTCCACCAAGTTGCTCTAGCTCTTCCACTTGAAAACACACCCACCCACACACGTACACACATGTTCCTACTGGCAGCTGGGGTTGCTGTGAAATAGGTTTCTGCTGGTGCCGAAAACTGTGGGTACAAAGGAGTTGTTGATTATTGGGGCGCAGCTGTCCACTTTTACCTGTCGTTAGTCTTTCAGGTAGGTTACTTATCCTTTGCCGTGCCTCTAGAAGGTTGTCCCAATTGCCAAACGTGCCTGTGGGGCTAAAAAGGCTGTCTACCTGATGATGTTTACAATGAAATCTTGCTTCTCCATGTTTGTTTAGATTATAGATGAAGAAGAGACGCAGTTCATGAGTAATTGTCCTGTGGCAGTGACTGAGAGTACTCCCAGAAGAAGGACCCGCATTCAGGTGTTTTGGACTGCCCCTCCTTTGGGCACAGGCTGTGTAATATTGAAGTAAGTGTACAAGTCAATAAACAGTTGAAAAACTTCATGATGATATTGTAGTTAATGATATTTTGGTGCCTTTCTGCCTCACAAGTCTGCAAATCTATAGATTGTGTGTCAGGATATAGATACAGGGCTCAGGGGACTTGTTCCATGCACAAAGTTGTACTAGGTTTGCAAATGTCACCACAGGAATGTCAGTCCCTCTCACAAGTCTAAAGTCTAGCCTAGCTTGCAGATCAGCACTCAGAAGAGTCTGGATTGTCCATGACCTTTAAGATTGACTTCTTCTACTCCAGCCTTGCTTAGCAGCTAGATGGCCCTGGGAGATTCCTAACATGGAGTAGACCTTCCATCTGTAATTACAACAGATGATGGGGAAGGTTGATTTACATATCATGCCAAATAGGGGGTGCACAGTCCTCTCAAGAAGTAGAACCTGAGCTATGAACCAGAATAAGAAATGGAAACATAATTAGCTCAACAACATGATTGTCCTTGCCATTCCAGTCAAAGGAGTGTCTTCTCACTAAGCTCTGTCATTTGTCCCCCTCCCGCCATTATTTTCTGCTGATATAGGGATAACCCTTCTGGTTTTTTTATTTACCATTCCCTTCTGTGTGGTAAGGCAGATGTTATTCAAAAAGGCCTGAAAGCCCTCGATAAAATTTCACCAAGGTAGCAACAACATGTCATTTGAAGGCCCATGGCCTGGTGGTGGCAATAGTCAGCTTAAGGCAGGTACCTGCTTTAGGTTCTGAACATAGACATGGCAGCCATTCAGTTCTGTAGAAGAAAGCAAAAGGATCTTGACTTCTGTACTGGGCAGAACCTGTCTCTTGTCACCAAGGAGATGGATGGATATGCCAAGCTTGATTTCTTGGAATTTTATTCTTTTCACTTTTAAGGAAGCAGTCCTATGGTTCCTAGATGGTGTCTGAGGGACAGAAGATGCTTTGGATTCCAAAATCCATGGTCAGAAAGAAATATATGATTGAGACCTTCGGTATTAGATGGGATATAAATGTTTTAAATGAATAAATAAACAATGAAAACCTTAGAAATGTACGAACCATGTTCCAGTGAAAATGTAAACCCAGTGAATATCTCACCCATCTCTAAGGGTCTGAGTCCGTGCCTGCGTATGTCCACACAGTGCTTTGTGTATTTCCCTGCTGTGCTCTTGGACCCATGTTCTTGCACCAGTTTATATTTTTAGCACCAATCAGAGGCATGCTGATCAGAAAATAAATTTAGGGGTGTTGGTGGGTGGATACACAGATGCATGGCTGTGGGTTGGATGCACAAGTGGGATGAAGCCTCTTCAATGTTGAGAGCGAATCCCAGGCCACTTTCACCTCTGCAGCAAAGCGGCTTTTGTAGAGTTGCTAACAAAGGGGAAAGTCCACCGTTTCACAGCTGCCATCTGCAGCATTTGTTCCCAATTCTCGGAGCTGAAACAGTATGTTCAGACCCGGTAGCAATTGCACAAAAGTTTGTGGGACTCCAACAATATTTAAATTGTTTCCGTGAAGCATGCACAACTATTTGCATATCCAGGCACTGATACAGTTTCTCCTCAAGAAAGAAAGGCAGTGACACTGAATAGGACATGAATGCACTTGTAGTCTTGGATATTTGTCTGGACCTGTGGAACTGCAGTATTATCCATGTGAATCCCGGCAAATTCCTTCAAAATGTGAATTGGTGGCTATAACATAAATACAGTTGATCGTATCAACAAACCTTTAACAAGTGCTCTGATATTTCAGGAGTGAAGATCCTGAATGCTAGCAGTGTGAAACCTATTTCCCTGAAGACGTTTCACTAGTCTGATCAAAATTATTTTTGCTTTCCTGAAACTCCCCTAGGCCCAGTGTAGATATGTAGCCAAACAATCAAGAATAATTTATCCATGTGATGTTTTACAAGGTTGGCTTCCCCTGAAAACCAGGTCCATAGCTGTTATATATGCAGCCCACAACACCCACTCAGGCTAAACTTCCCTGGAGCGCTAACACTGAATGCACAACCCAGCTGAAATGAGATATGGAGTATGGATCGCAACATCAGTTATTCTTGCAGGCCTGGCGTCACATAACAATTGGCCTCAGACATTCGATCTGAGGAAGAATCTCCAAATTGGCACTCGGTTCTAAGCTCAGGATATTTTTCATCCAGAAAACTAGCTTAGCACTCTACCCAGCTTAGCAAAAGGTTGAGCAGGTGTGCACAGTCTGGGCCAAATGACCAAATCTAGCCCTCATGGGGTTCCAGTGTGGCCGAATATTCTTCCCAGGTCCCACCTTCTTTTCCTCACCCACAAATCATGTTGTGGTTCCCCAGCTTCTGTGCAATCCCGCCCTCCTATTCTTAAGTTTGAACCGCCTCTCCTAAGGCTCAATTACTGGTAGTAACTGAGCTTTAAGCTCAGATGGACTGGCATTTGAGCCCTGTGCACGGGCTCCACCTCTTTGGCCTCCAGTCCTACCCATTCCTGGACCATGGCTTCAGACTGCTTCTCCAAATGTGGCTGTTGGGATGAAAGGGCAAGAATCACACCCCCAGGGATATTTCCTGAAAGTGAAATGGCTTGGCTGTATTGCAGTCCTTAAATGAAAACTTAAGGTTCAGTTGGAAAAAAACCTGATGTGTTTTCCTGGATGCAGTTCAAATGAATGAGGCCTATCAAGCTCAAACAGCTACTGTCATTATGACTTGTTGGAGACAGTAATTAACAGTATAATACAACACCACGTAGCTGTGCGGGAGTAGCATTGTACATAGCAATTATTATTTTGCTTTTGGCACAAACTTAACACCATGTGTATTTTTTCAAATGGGATATAAAGCTTTGAGCAGTTAAAAATTATAGGGTTTGTTTTAAGCCCTTCTTCCACTTCTGCTTCTGCTTCTTCTTCACTTCCACATAAATGCAGGCAAATACTGGACACCATTTGCTCAGCTTTGGTGGCATCCAGGAAATCTATCAGAATGATACCATGAAAGAAAAAAAAATGCTAAGCACACTGATGTAAAGGAGTTATGCCTGAAAAGTCCAGGCAGTGTTCTGCTACCTTAAACTCTGGATGAGACAAAAGGAAGAGCATTTGGAATTACGCACAAAGTGCAAAACGAGTGACAGAATGTGTTACCACCAAGACGCAGTAATGGCTGCCAACTCGCTTTAAGAGGGAATTAGACAAACTCATAGAGGATGCAGCAGCTACTAGTTGGGATGGCGAAATGTTTTCTCCAATTTAAAAGGTAGTGTGCCTCTGAAACTCTTTTGGATGTGAGCTTTCTTAGAGCTTCTCTGTGGCCAGTGATGGGCCAATACAGGTCCAGAGGATTATGAAAGGTGGCAAGACGTGTCCTTTATGCCCACCCTGCGAGGAAACTGCAGCTGAAGAAGCACATATGGCAGGATTTCGCCATACTCAGATCTCTGCTTGCAGTGCTTATACTGGAATCTAAATGCTGCCAAGCCAATCAAGTGGCTTTGGGCTGAGAGAGGGGTGAGCATTTGTATGTTACGTGAATACCTCAAAAAGCCAAAGTAGAGCATGACTGAAAATCCTGCAAATTGCTCACTGCCCTTCTCTCAGCTGCATCTGCTGCGTTATGCTAAGAATGCGTGCACTCACATGGCGCTATCGTGTATACGCCTCCTTGGAACAAGGCAGGTACTTGGGAATCCCCCCTGACACCACCGCCAAAGAGGACCTGGGTCACCAAACCAGAGGGCCCTGATTTGCATAATATTTGCATGTGCAAATTTAAGGCTATGGCTAAAAAAAGTCAGAACACTTGGTGTAATTTAAGTACAAATGCAGTACATCCCAGCAGAATGTAGAGCCCTGTGACCAAGTCACTGCAATGTCTCCCTGCTGCTTCTGTTGCTGAGGTTGAATTTATACATGCACTTGACATGGGTAAGTCAGCCCTTCAGGGAGAGGACAGCCTTCTGGGAGCCCTGCAAATAGAGGACTGCCCTCTGCAGAAGATGACACATGGCCACCCTCAAAAGTCCCACTAAGTTCCAAGATATAAGTAGGCGTGGGTTCAAGCCGATTAATATAACTACTGGAACTGGGAACAGTCAGCTCACCATAGGTAAATGGAGGATTTTTGTAGGATCATGTAGCAACTGGAATCTATAGGTGCACCTTCCTCATAACCTTTAGAGAGATGCACCTGTATTTTTATAGTTTGGGCAAAGAAGCGGTTCAGGTAGGTTTATGCTGCCCCCGCCACTGTTTTACTTGATCTACTGTTTATTTGATACTGTCTTTAAATGGATTTCTTTCACAAACATTGTCAGGTGGGATTTTTAAAAGAAATCCTTGCTTTGATTTTATTTATTTATTTATTTTCCAATTTATATCCTGTCTTTTTCCTACAAAGGGCTCAAGGCAGCATACATCATTCTCCTCCTCCATCTTATTCCCACAACAACAACCCTGTGAGGTAGGTTGGGCTGGCAGTCTGTGACTGGCCCAAAGTCACCCAGTTGGCTCCATGGCTGAGGATGAACTAGAACCCAGATCATATGAGTCCCAGTCCCATGCTCTTAACCACTACACCACATTATATGTGATGTAATCAAATTTGTATTATTATTATTAATAATATTAATAATAATAATAATTTCATTGCTATACCACCCAATAGCCAAAGCTTCTGGTGTATGCATTTTGGTACCCTACAGTCCCACTTTTCCACCAAATATGAGACTTGGATTATTATTTTTTTAATCTAAAATTGTCAAATGACTCAATGACAATCTTACTGCTCATAGTAAAAGTTGTGCTCATGAACAACTGGCAAAAGAAATGTTTTAGTATGCTTCAAGACAAAGTGCAGCATTTACTATTTTTCAGTGATAAATCATTTCTCTTATGGTTTATTCATATGCCTCTTTTGGCTGTGTGTAGCCACTGGAGGTTTGAGAAACTTGAAAAGGACATAAAGTCTGCCAAATTAGAGATTTGGCAGATTTAGAACAT